GGGGGGGGGGGGGTTCTGGGTTCCATCCACATTACTCCATAATCCTCAGCTGCTGTGCTGTGCTGACTGTGTTCCTGGAGGAAGAATTTCAAACTTGCCACCGGATTTACAATGGATTCTCTAAAGATTACCACTGGATTTCCACACCATTCCTAGTATGGAAACTTTCAAAAACATATCAAGACTGCAGTGTGCATTTACATTTTTAAGTTGACATCAAGTTTTCAGTCTGTAAAATGCCAAAAAACAAGAATGTTGCATTTAAAAAAGGAATTGTGTCCAGAGTTCCTAAGTTATAAGAATAGAATTTTATTTCCAAATGTGGTTTACCCAACACAAATCCAGATTCAATAAAATCAACAAGTTCACCATTCCTGCAAGATATTTTCCTTTGTGAATTCCAATGGTTTAAATGATAAACCATTTTTACACATGCTCCATACTGCTTGAACTTTGTGCACATTCTTAGGTTCTGCTTGCAGGAACACAAGTGTCCCTTTCAGACTGACCTAACTTAATCTTATCTATGTCCTAAATTAATATATAAAACATCTTTAGATTACCAGAGCACAATGGAAGATATTTGTGGATATGTTATGGTAAATGGATGGTAGATGGACTGTACTTATTTAGCACCTTTCTATCTTATCAAGATACTCATAGCACTTTACACTACAATCTGTGCCTTCATTTACCCATTCATACAGCACTCTACTAGATCTGTACAAAGAATAATCTGTGCCTTATCACATTCTTACACTAATGGGGCACACATCTGATGGGGTGGGGGTGGGGGTGGGCGGGTCAGTGTCTTGCCCAAGGACACTTTGGCATGTGACTGCTGGTGGAATTTAACCCCCAACTCTTGCATTGGAGGACGACTGCTCTAACCACTCAGCCACAGCCGCCCCAGGTTACAAAACAATGGAGGTATTGGTCAACTCATTGATTTAAATTATGGAAAATTAAAACAAATTTGATACTCCTGTTAGTTTCACACGAGTGGTTTCATACAAGTATCTGGTAGTCTTATTCACAAGAGATGTTATGATGGACTGGGAGATGGAACTAAGGAAAGGTGTATTATCTACAGTAACAAGTTTGATCTATTGTAGGGAAAAAGAACTGAGGTGAAAGGCAAAGCTCTCAATTTACTGTTTGGTTTATGGAGTGTGGATCATGACAGAAAGAGTGAGATCCAGTCTACAAGCAGCAGAAATGCTTTTCCTCAGCCTTAAATATAAGGTGAGGAGCTCTATTATCCAGAGAAAGCTCAAATTAAAACCGCAGCTCCTCCACATCAAAAGCAGTCAGTGAAGGTGGTTTGATTAGGGTGCCTACTGGGCATGTCCCTTTGCAGGTTTTGCAGGGACGTTCCACTGGGGAAGAGACCTAGGGTAGTCCCAGAACTTGGTGGAGATATTATGTATTCTCTTTGGCCTCGGAACCCCTTGCAATTTCCCTGGAGGACCTGAAAAATTTGTTATGATACGTAACCATAATAACAAGGTGGTTTCCTACAACCGGGAGCTGCTGTTTAACATCTCAAAAGCTCAAAAATACCTCAGCTACAGCCCCAAATCCTAAACAAGTTGAAAAGGAAGTACCATTGATGCATTCCCATCTACCTGGAGGCAGTGCTCGAGTGCCTGACTGCAGAGATCTTGGAGGTAGTGGGAAATGCGGCTCGTGACAGTGGGAGGCCCAAGATCGTCCCCCGGCACCTGCATTTAAGTCTGTGGCAACGAGGGGCTTGGCAAGCTGCTGGGAGGAATGGCCATTGCTTGGGGAGGAGTTCTGCCTGGTATTCAGGCAGTCCTGATTCCCAAGAGGACTGAAAGGTCTGCTGGGTCTGGGTGGACGGATCGGCGTCTGCAGACATTTTCTTCGGATCTGCTTTTGGATGGACTGTTAAGAGAGACCCTTCCTGCCCACCACTAAGTGGAAGACGATGGGTTGATGGATGGATAAATGGGTTGGTGGATAATGGTGATATGATTATTTACTCTAAAATATTTTAGATTACCTCTGATAATTGTAACAATTACAATTTTTAGGAGCATTAGCGCTGTAAGCTTTCAAGGCTGATGATAAATAAATAAATAAACCTAACAAGTAGAATACAAATATCAGAATATTTGTTTGGAAATTTGCTTGAAAGACCTAAAAAATGTTATAAGTCATGATTCAATCTTTTGTATATCTGTGGAATTATGTATTTTCTTCCTGCTACATGCAGCTAATGCTATTTTCACTTCTTTTACTTTCTTTTTACCCTCACTCTTCATTGCCCTCTACCATCTCTTTGCATCTCTTCTCTTCATCTGCCCCTTCTTATCTCTGTCTCCCCTGCCCACTCTACCTCCCTTTCACTTCTCCACTGCTCTTATCTCTGCTTTAGTGACATTATCATGTCCCGAGGCCAAATGCTCAATGACAGACGGACTGACCGATAGAGGCACAGAACTCACAGCTCTGCAGACACCGACTGCCAGGCAGACTTGTCATCGTAAAAGACCTAAAAACAGGAAGCCAGGGAAGCAGACGCGCTCACATGTTGGTCGGCTTTACAGCAGAAGAGCAGACAAAATGGCAGCAGATTAAAAAAAATAAGACATTTGAGACATTCCGCTGATAGGATTACTCCTAATGACTTGCAATAAGTAGAGCAGAATAAGTCACAAACCAGAAGGTCAGTGACAGATAGGCTGATAGATTAGTTGACATATAATAGCAGAAATGTGAGATGTGTGTGCTCATCAACAAATAAGTATGCTGACAGTGTATGTGGAGCCAGGAGTGGCTGAAGAAGACATCTCAAACATGGCTGGCATGTAGTTAGACACTTTTCCCCTGCTGACCACCCAGATTGACACATGCAAGCGTCAGCATCCAGACCACCAGTGCTCTTGCTGTGCTGTGCAAGTATTTATGTACAAATCTGTTCCGTTTAGTCTGTTTCATGCTCAGATTAACATTATCTCCAGGCAGCAGCCAACAGGTCAGCTTTGTGGTTGGTTGGAGGCCGTTGAGCCTCGCCTACTTTCTCATCCAAACCAGTGATGTCATTTTGAAAGTAATACAGAGCAACAAGATTCTGCTGCACATGCATTCAGCTCAAGTGCATGCCCTAGTATGCAGAACTTAGACATATTCAGGTAATTTTTTAACAAGAAGTTGATTTTTTTTTTTTAAACAAATTTATTCTTACTTAATAAAAACATAGATTATTTTTAATTGAGAGAAAATGGAAGTGAAATTGATGAGCAGATTAGGAGGAAATGAGACAAATAAAGAGGCAGGAGGACTGAGAGATAAAATTGAATATCTCGTAACGTTTGCTATGTGGTTGACACGTTATTGGACCTGCTTTCCACGGGGCAGAAGACATAGATATCCATTAACAGGTCTAGACTGGTTTACCACAGCTGTGTGCGTGTGTGTATGTGTGTGTGTGTGTTAGCTGAGCTTGAGCCCACTTAAAACTGTCACATGTCACTTATATTCTGTTGCTATGTGATCTTTGGCTGGGATGAGCTTTTGGCTGTTCTGTCTCTCCCTCCCTTTCTGCCACTCGCCTCTTCAGACCATCTCCAGCAGCTTTTCATGAATATTTCAGCCTTACAGTCAGCAGATTGGCAACAAGTGTACTACTACCATTTGCTGTTGTTTCTTGATCAAATTCATGAAAAGAACATTGCAAGACAAACAAAAAACAGCAAAGGTGTTGTTTGTGGTGCCAGCAGTAGGTTGATTATTCATTTTATTGTGAGTGATTTCAGGCAGAGCTGGAGGCTCGAGTTGCATCTGTTGTGGAGTCATGTGGGTCCATCATGTTTATTTCTCTGATTGCCTTTTTGTAACATTGACATTTTTATTTTTCACGTGTTTATTTTAATGCTTTTGTTTAAGTTGAAGTATGTGAAAATCATAACAAGTGAGCACGGCTCTTCCTCCACAAACCGTAATGTTGATGTTACCATAGTCTGCCCAAAGAATTTTGTAAACAGTTAATAGTGAATGAAGATAAAATCTAAAGCTATTTGTTGAAAAAAAAAAAGAAGTTTTGAACTAAAAATAAAAATCTGGGAGTTCAGCCAGGAGGGAATTTTCCCAGAAAACAACTTTTTTTTTTTTTACCATCCAGCTGTTGATTCACATTAGAGAAAAACATGATCCAACTGACATTCAAGTAGTGTTTTTTTACACACAATAAAATCATATTAGTTTTCTTTTTTATATACCTCTTTTTGTGTTTGAAATGTGTGTAACTCTATTTTCTAGACGAGGTCCGATGGATCCAGCTGATTATCCGATGCAGCCATGGTCAGGTCATTACCCTGGTCCTCCCCAGCCCCAACAAGGATACCCCCAGTCCCAGACTTACTGCAGTTCCCAGTCTGGCCCATCTTATTCTGGGTACCTGCCTGGCCAGCCATACCCACGATCAGGAGACCCCCGAGGGATTGAACCTGGCTACTACCCCCACCCTAGGTAAAGAAAAGAAGCAGATTTTTTATATATATATAAGTCTTCACAATGCTTAACGCAGGAAACATTTTTCTATAGTTGGTTATTTGTAACCAAGTCCTGTCTAAAATTTGTGTAATTAATAACTCTCATTCTTTAAACTCAGTCGTTCTCAAACTGTCGAGGTTCTGTCTCAGAAAGTAACACCAGCAGAGACTTGTGAACCCAACAGTCATTGGTTGAGCTCTACAAACTGTTAGTTATAAAATAAAAAAATAAAAAAATAAATGAGGATCCAATGACATCACTAACAGCCTAAACCAATGGTTCCCAACCCTGGTCCTTGAGGAACACCATCCTGCATGTTTTAGTTGTTTCTCTGGATTAGCACACCTTATTCAGTGGTTTAATTACTTCCTCAAGTTTTAATTACTTCCTCAAGTTCTGCAGAAGTCTGTTAATCACCCGATCATCCAAATCAGGTGTGTTGGAGCAGAGAAGCAACTAAACCATGCAGGATGGTGTTCCTCAAGGATCAGGGTTGGGGACCACTGGTCTAAACAATTATTAAAGCAATTTTCAGCGGTTTATCATCATCAGTTCACTGTTGTTCTTTGTTATAGCAATTATTGGGGGGGGGGGGGGGGTCATTATCCACAGTGAGATCCTGGTCTAACTTTTAGAACCACTGCAATAAAACACAGTTGTATTTGTCATAATTTGTTAAAAAATTGTACTTTATTTGTTTTCATTGTTGTTCCATTTTCATAGTTTGACCAAACTTTTTTTTCTGCTCATAGCTCTCAACATAGAGGGCCATTACGACAGGATGTGCCCCCATCTCCCACGCCTCCAATCCGGGCACCACGGTACGAAACCATGACTCGTGGAACTGTGGGTGAAGGCTACAGGTAGAATGGGGGAATGGGATTCTTCTGTGGACAAAGAAACTCCAGGTAAATTCTTAACATTTCCTTTGTGTTCAAGTTTCTTCTGGAAATAATCCACTGGACAGGCTCTGATTCTTGTTAACCTGAGAACTTGTTTGATGGGTTACAGGCACCCGATGGATCCCAGTATAGACCTGTGTGGTTATACTGGAGAATAAGAAAACAGCAGCATCCACACCAAACCAACTCCAGAAAGAAGAATGCAATATTACCACCCATGGAGACACTATCTTTTTAAAATGAGGCATCCACATTCAGTATTTTTAAATGTCAATATCCACAAGCACGCACAGATTTTATCACTAATTGTTTGGTCTTTTACATCTCAATCACAGTAAAGTGCTGTATGAAATATATTTTATGGTATGTTATTAAAGCTGCAGCTCTTAGGTTTATTTTATGTTTCTCTAAGTCAAGATGAGTTTAATTACATTTTAGTACAAAATTAGATCAAATCCAAGTGGGAAACCAAATGACTCAATTTGGCTCTTTGTTAAATGTATCCGGCAACAACAGTAATTCAAATCAGCTAAAGTAAACCTAAATCTCATTTGGCATTTGAATCAAAGTTAGCTGTATGGGACATACATTTATTTAAACCGATAATTTAATCTGTTCTCTGTTTGTCCCTAATCTGTCAACCTGTGTAAACTGAGTCACCTCACACTGTTAGAATATTTTTATTTTCACTTCACTTTTAGTATCACTTGTTCAGTCTGTTGTTAAAATACAGGACAACCTTTCAAATTCTTTTAAAAGCTGCATTAAGATCAACACAATGTACTTTTTTTGAGTACCTGTGTTTTACAAAGCAGCGATGGGGTTGATTTTAGTGTATGCAGGTGTGTTATTTACATCTTGCACTGTAGTTTGAATGTAACAAATGTCTCTGTAAACTGATAGTTTAGACATCAGTTTGTGCTGGAGTCCTGCTACAACAGGAAGTGAGCTTCAAAGTGCTGCTCAACAGCATAATTCAGTTTTGCCACATATTAAACTGTCAGTTAGTTGTAACTAAGAGTTGAAGTAAAGAGTCACGTTTCTTTGTTTCAAACCACTAAGTTCAGCAGTATTATTTTCACTAGAGACTGAATGTTTAACATGACATTTAAACGTTTAATAGATCACACTTCTCCTTCACACTGGATGACAGCACGCTAAAGATGAGCCAGAATGTCTTCTCAAGGTCTTGATACGTCTTCAGTCACGTATATTCTTTATTCAACCTTTATTTGTACAGGTTCGTCTCATTGAGTCACGAGGACTCATTTAAAAGAGAGACCTGTTTTAAGCAACAACAAAAAAAACACAGATGAGGTACACAAAACAATGAACAGTCATAAAAAGCATATAAAATGAAAAGTAAATAAAAGCAGTGCTATAAAATGAAATAAAAAACAAGCTACATTATGAAACGGGGTACAATACTAGAAACAGGCACATGTCTGCATTGATTTTTACATTGAACATAATTGTTTAAAATCCCTTAGAGAGGTCAAAGACGACAACTTCAGTTCTTTTTGCAAGCTATTCCAGGTTACAGGAGCAGAGCAGAGAGAAGGCCATTTAGCCAAATTCAATCTGCACTGAGGGGACGCTGCAGGTAATGATGTCTTGAAAGCGCACGCTGTAGCTGTACTGACAAAAAGACATATATACATGTATAGAAAAGACAGTGGGCTTCCCATAATGTGTAATAGGTTGTGGAAGGTTTTGAGCATGCAAAAATATTTCCATAGCAAGGTTGCCTTGGTTTATTGTAACTCTGGTAGAGTGTCTGGGTCCTGGGTGGAGCATGGTAGCATATTTATGGAGTCCATTTGCATCAGTGTGGCCCGGTCATTGAGAGAACAAAGCAGTATTGGTCCCGCCAGTGTTACCATTGACTTAAAGGCATTATCTTCTGATGCATAGCTGAATTCTGACCAGATCTAAGAGAATTTTGCTTAATTTATGATTAGTTTTCACACATGGTGTGGTCCTGAGCATATATGGTATTGTTGTTGTGGGAAGGTTCTGCTGTGTACAGTGTGGTGATCGTGCAGGAGAGCATGGAAACAACAGGGGAAAACATAATTGGCATGTACTAAGAGCATGGCCGTACTGGGATTGTCTTCAGACCGAAGGAGGTTTTTAAACTTTGTCGTGACCCTGCAACATTTTGAAAAGTCATGTAGTGTTTAACAGGCTAATTAACCGTTATGAAGGGGGCCCTAATAACTGAGGATGACATTCCACCAAAGTGAATATTTGATTGTTTTTCTCTTTCTAGAAATGCTTTTCATTCAATGTCATAGGATTAAAAAAGAAGGAAAATCTTAAGTTGTCTGAAAGAAAGTGAGCCAAGGAAGAATGTGCTTTTAGGGTGGAAACCAGTACAGAAAGAAAGGAAATGGAAGTAATGAGGACGAAAGAAAACAAAAAGAAGGAAAGGAAGGTTGGAAGAAAGAAAAGAGTTGTTTATGATTGAAGTTTATAGAAACGTGGACAAAAATTGAAACCCAATAAAGTGTAGGAACAACAACAACTTTAGTTCAAACTGGTTTCAAAGTTGAAAATAAATAAAACTCATAGAAATGATGTGCAGTAAGAGGGAGATCACCCGTGTGAGCTTGTGTTGACTGAATGTAAAGATTGTTTAAATCAATCACAATTACTATGTTATGCTGTTACCACTTTTTAGCAAAAGTCCAAAAGTTATACTTCCTGATCAAATTGTCAATAAATAAAGTAGTAATCGTTGGCTTTTGACCTGATGCATAACTTACTTGTTTGACACCAAAATAATTATATTTTTATTAAATCATTTATTTTTGTGATTAGTTGTGGTATCTAACAGCACATGGTAAGCTGCAGAAAAATAAAGTTTACCTCGCCTCTGTGAGTGAATCTAGAAAAGTTTAGGTTTCAGCCAGAGAGAGCATGGTTGGATCATGTGAATAAATTTAGCTGAATTGTTTAAAAAGTGTGTAACTCTCCTTTAAAGGGTTCTCTGACCAGTTGGAACAATAAACCTTATTTGGTCAACAATTATTTCAGCTATAAAAACGGGACCATAAAATCACTGTAGGCTGTTTAGTTATATATCTATATATAATTAATAACACACTGACGTTTCCATTTTATTTATGCTGCAATGCATTCTGGATAAATGACGTAGACAGGTTGCTCGGGTGCAAACTCCATTCAGCTTGAATGTTAATTTTTGACATTGTCTGACGTTCTCCTCTTTAATTTGAACCGGAGCGCATTGACAGAGAGAAGAATGTAGAAATGACTCGGTTGTATTGTTAGCTCCAGAGCTAACATTCAATTCAATTCAGTTTATTTACCGTATATAGTCAAGTCAAATTTATTTGTATAGCACATTTAAAACAAGAACTGTTACCAAAGAGCATTAACAAAAGAGAGACATACATGGGGAGACTAAGCTGCAGCCACTTGAGCGGCGCCACCTTTTTAGATAAGGAAAGTGACAATATGAAGAAAGGGGAGATCAGAAACAGCCTCAGCACAAAAAGCAACATAAATAGACATAAGACATTTATGCATATGGAACAACAAAGGCAGTGAGTAGATCATGGACATTCCAGAAAGTTCCAAAGTTCTGATAAGATGGTACAGTGTCTATCAGCGTCACTGAACAAATGCATTCATATACATAAAAATTTGATTAGTAACATTATTTATCTAAGGTAGGGTAGGGTAGGGTAGCCAGTATGTTGCGTTGAGTCTTTATTTATTTGAAGTCTCCCATCCTGAGCAAGCACAAGGCAACAGTGGAAAGGAAAAATCTCCCTCATAACATAATATATGTAAATATGAATATAGATCCATGGATAATAAATTAAACCTCACAAGTAGATCACTTTTGATCATGTTGACACATACTGTGCATAAGGGCTAATGTAAAATGTAACTTTATTGTGACAGGTTATAACTTTTTAGCGTTGACTCCTTGTGTTTAAGTCTCCACTGCAACCGATGTATGTCATCGCCCCAGAATGCATTGCGCTGGTAAAATAATTGCAACATCCTTTGGTGAAAAATATAATAAGCATATGTAATTTTTTTTAAACTATTTAGGAGTTTTCACAGGTCACAAACAACAACTTTTACTAGGATAAAGAAATAACATATGAAAGCTAATATGTGCAAGTATTTGGAGATCCCTTTAAGACAGACTGGTCAGACAAAAACAAAGGTTTCATAAGTTGTTTATCAAAGTGCCTGATGAAGCTTTTTGAGCTTCAGATGTGACATGAAAAGTGTTTTTGTTAGCCCTAATTTTAAATGTATGCAACTTCTCACAAGCATTTATTTTTTTTATTTTTTTTATACTGCGAGTTGATGGCGATGGGTTTGAGCAGAGCCTCAGTTTGTTTGGTTGATCGTACCGTGTTGTGCTGCATACTTTTATTACGTTTTTCTTTCAAGTTCAACTTCACTTCTCTTTTAGTTTACACTCTGAGGTTCTAAATTTTTGGTACAGCATGGCAATCATATCAAGCATCCTGTTTGGCTCTTAGAAATACAAATTGCACACATTGAAGGTACTCGTATATTTGTTTGTAAAGTGTTCTGGTACTCCTTGTTCTTCCTTCATGAAGTCCGGCGAATGAAGGAACCAACTAAACAACCTCGCTGTCTTAGAGATCCAATTTTTTTATATATATCCCACTGTTTTTTATCTGAAATTTCTAAAAACCAAATCTCATTCTCTAAATGTTGTAACACCTATGTTATTGTTTCCAGTATTTTAAATGTATGTGTATATCATCTCTTATTGCATTAAAATGTTCTTTATTAAATGCCTGTGTCTTACGATGTCATCCATTAAAAGACAAATGCTGAACATTTGCTCTTTAAGTAAGAATCCATGCCCAGCACATCTGCTGAAGTTAATTTAATCTGAGTCAGGAGAAATCATTTCCCCCGTGTCCCTACAAGGTGAGTCATTAACATTGCCAACCCAATTTAGTCCATCATTTAAGCTGCTGATAAGTCGAACCTTTGTGATAAGAGATAGATGTTGGGCTCAAATTAACAGAAGACTAATTATCAATTAGAAAGAGAAGATGATAAACTCTGATTGTCGCAGAAAGTTTTCTTAATTTTCGTTGCATAACGCCATCGTACTTCTAGGTCATCATCTTTGCCTTAATAAGCATTTAGTCACGGTGAGTGGCTTAAGGTGCTGTCTTATTTGTCAGACACTTTAGCTACTTGGCTGGAGCTGCAATCAGAGTAGTTACAAGTAATGAGACACAAGCTGAAGAAATGTTTTATCAGCCATGCCTTAATTAGCATATCCCACACTTCTTGGCCAATAGGGAGATGGAGAGGGGGAAGAAGTAATTAAATTCTCTTGGGTCACTGCCACAGTTCGATATGGATTTACAAAGTGTTTCTTATAGGTGTGTGCTCAACGTTCTGTATTCTTATTAAAACACCTTGTTAAGTTTAAAGCACTTGGATTCCTCTCATTGTTTTTGATCAAAGCTGTTTAAAATGAGGGACTGAATTATCTGAATTAAGATTTTACTGCTCGAACGTTTTAGGTTCATTGGAAGAGTTTTTGCAGAGGTTCTTCACTGTTAAACCAAAAAAATAAAAGGTTTTTGCATCTTGATGACCTAAAGACTGGAAAAGATCCAGGGAGGAGTCTGCCTCAAGTAGATGATGTTTAAATACCCGATAGCCTTGTTCAAAAGAGGTAGCGTGATGAATCGAGAGATGGATCAGTGGATTGAGGCCTTGT